AAGTTACCGATCATGTTGAAAAATAGTCCCATAAATCTCATTATTTCTCGAGTCCAATTATGAATGTCAACGTGATTCAGTTGTTATCAATAACCTAGCATTCCTTAAAATCTATTTTCTAGGCCTAAGAGATAATTAATGAAATTGTAAAAGTTGAAATTAAATTAAACATGCAAATGGACAGAACCTGTTTTCAGGTTTTAGTTGCTGCTATGTCCTATTTAATCCAACTTTTCATACCCTCAATTACATTCATTCCTTTCCAAACTTTTAAAACACGTATATAACATATATGTGAAGGTAAATATGTTATTAAGTTACCACAAGTAGAAGTTTTACAACCCGAAAACCATTTTTACCAAACACCAAATCAGACAATTTCCCTATGACCGTTTTCAATTTACATTGTATTAGCATGTCACCAATCAAATTCTAGGTTATTAGAAATCTTTTATATGATTCTAACTTTCATATAAAGACATTCATATATATAGCTACAAGTTATTTCCTATGTATTATCCAAAATCAAAGGTTGAATAGGCAGAATCCAGCAACCATGCAATTCCTGTCCTTGCTTGTTTTATTCAATATATCTCCAACAATTTTTCTCTCTTTTTTTCCATAATAACATCCCAAACACTAACCCTAACAAAATATCAAGTAATTTCAGGGATTCAAGAGATTTATAACACCTTCAAAAACAATGAAAATAACCTTCAAAATCGTGAGCTAAACTCACCTATTTAGAAGTTCAATTTTCAAGAAACGAGACAAAGGAAATGAAAGGCTTTCACTTAGGGTCACTTGGAGATGATTTAAAGGCTAAATATCATAGTAGGAGGTATATATAGAGTCTTAAAAGGGGTTGGGGATGTGACTCTTGCTTAGGAATTAAGAAAATATTGTAGGCAACTAAGCATGACATCTGTTAAGCAGGATGCGGCTCCTTCCGACAATATTTGACTTTTCTCTTCCCCTATTTGGATACACATTGGCTTATATATATGAAGTGTCCTTTGTAGTGAAAATTTGATTTTACACTCATCATTGTAGTAGAAAACCAAGTGTATCTGGCCTATCTTAGTGTGTCAACAACCTAATTTAATTTCTATAGGATCCTAAAATAATTTATACAATTAATTCCTTAACCCTTCATTTGATTCCTTAGCTGATTGACGCCTGATTCTCAACTGACTTCAACAATTTGAGCATCAATATTTATAATGTCATATGAACCTTATATTATCGTATTGTGATCATGTCATTTCATGCTCATGTCCCAAATATATTAAAGACTTAGTTAGGGATTTAGGGCAACCATGATTANACCGATAAAGTTTCCACCCCTTTCAATGTCACTGTCGTTTATCACATCAATATCCAACATTAATTTTAACCTAAATTTCTACCATAGCTCAATGTAAGATTCACCACCTAGGTCGGGAGGTCAACGACTAACACCATATAGAGATCTTAAACTTCAATCACTCAATACACCATTATAAGAGAAAATCATTCCAAATTATTGATGCCAATCCAATGGCAATGTAAATAGCAAGTAATACATGAATCATGTTGGCCTAGTGTGTAAAGTGAAGTTTGGGGTATTACATACGGTTTTCAAAAATTTTATATCTAGACAATCTAAACGAAGACGAAATATGAAAAAAGATTTTATAGTATGAAACTACAATTGAAGGTTTTAAAATATCTTCAAATTACTAGATCTTACAAAAAAGTGACCTAGGGTTTTTGGAAAAATAAAAAACAACTATGAAAATTGATTTCTCACAGTCAATGAACAAACTAATATCCAAGAACGGCCAACTTAGGCTCTTATACCACTGATATACAAAACATAGTATCTGATGAATAAAAATAAACATCAACTCGACCAAAATCTACCAATTATTACAACCAGAGTAGATCACCAAATGATTCCAAGATAACATAGATTTGGGCTCAAATTTATTGTACCCTTGTGTACCACAGTGGCCCTCAAACCTAACCTTAAAAGACACGATTGAAGCTACTTTAATGGGTCAAAAGACCTCAACCTAAGACCTCAAACACTTCTCTCTCACTAAATCACAAAGAATCTCACAGGAATTCACTCAGAAAACTCAATAACACGTCCAACCAAAAGTTGAAGATAAGTGAAGAAGTCGAACAAAGAGAAGAGAAAACCCTAGCCTCTCACACAAAAGACAGACGCTAGGAATGAAATAATGAAGCCCTAAGGGGTTCTATTTATACCCTCAAGCATCACCATTGATCTTGGATTTAGATCAACGATCCAAACAACTAGCAACTTGTCCAATAACCAAATAACCAAAGTTGCATTTTGGAAATACAAGGACCTTTTATAATGGGTTCGGATTATTAGGCCACATCAAATTTTACCAGACAATAAAAAGGGAAAAGTTTATGGCTCAGGTATTTAGTTTGACATTTGAAAAAATCAGATGCTAAACTTTAAATTTGTAAAAATCAGGTTTCTACTTTTTATTAATTAATTAAATATTTAATTGTGTAATTTGATAGCGTATATCTTATTAATTAGTTAAAAATTAATTTCAAGTCACAACTTATCAAATTAATTGGTCTCGAATTATTTCGAGGTCACAGATGAAAAAATTTATAGGTCACAGTTAACTTCGTTGGTCACAAATCAAGAAT